CTCCTCTTGCTGGTCTCCCCCCAGCCCCCTCCACTGCAATATCCATCTCCTTACCAACTCAAACACAAAAGCCACAATGAGGGGGGTAGCCTGGGAAGCTAGGTTATGCTCTTGTGTGCCTTTCTCTCTGGGTCCTCAGTTTCCCCCTGTGATTCTGCTGTCTCGTTATTTCTATTGGGAGGTGGCTTAAATAAATCATGAGGCATGAGATGGTAATGAGGGAATGCTAGTGGGACCACTCTTGAGCCCCCTCCCCTCTGCTCCCCAATCACCAGCCTCCTCTAACCATCACAGCAGAAAAAAGCCCTCTTCTGACAAACCTCAGAAGCACAAGTCATCCACGGTGGCTCCCAGTGCTCGGTAATGGGCAGGCAGGAAGTTCTTCCTCATGTCCCACCTAACCCAGCCTGCTGCATTTTAGACGCCTCTGAGACCAGCTGCTCCTCAGAAGTGCTCCCTGGCACACTGCTTCTGTGTCCCTCGGCTCCTGGCATATGGCCCGGATGAGCCTGGGGGTTCTGATTCAAGGCCAGTAGCTGTGGTCTCAAGCTCCCCTTAAGGGGGTTGGGGATCGTCCACAACATGTGAGCTGGGCCCACCCCATCTTTCCAAGCCCCTAGCATCTAACACCTTCAACTCCCAGCATCTTCACTCTCTCCAGCCTTTGTCCCAACTCTCAGTAACCCCACATGGAGGGGAGAAGGCAGGACTTTCTCCCAGCACCTCACAATGGGGATAGAGAGGAGGGAGCTCAGCCAAGCAGGTGGAATTAACCAACTATGGTTAATCCTTGACCCCAACCAGAGACTCGAGATTTTCTTGCCAACTTTCTGTCAGTCGCCTCCCACATCTAGCCAACACCCTGGTAGGGGACACAGAGGACCAAGACTGAAGGGATGCTATGGGCTCCCTTGCTCTTGTCTAGGTCCCTTCTGGACTCAGGAACTGCTGTCATAGAGAAGGTGTTGAAACTCTCTAGCCTTAACCCAACTGCAAGGTCAGGCTGACTTTAAGCTCACTTGGAGCTCAGCCCAGCACAGGAATCGGTGAGAGCTTGGGAGAAACCCTGCTTTCTCTTTTCTTGCACCAGGAGACAAGTTGGGAGATATGGGCATTGGTGAGATTAGGAAGGGCCTTGAATGCCAGTTTTGAAGGGTGGGTTTTGACGCCTAGGCCACGGGGACCCTCAGAGATTTGAAGCAGGATGGTGAGGGTGGGGATACACGTTGTACAAAGACCCCCCAGGTTGTAGGTGTTGGGGCTGAAAACTGCTGTACCAGTCCGGGCAGGAATTGAGGAAGCCTGGCCCCTGTCTATACATATCTCCCAACCTGTCTCCTGCTGTCTCCAGCGCCCCTGCTGCCGCCAGGCTTCCCGCAGCCTTGAATGTATCAAGCGTTTTCATGCCTCTGTGCTTCTGCACGCACAGCTCCTGCTTTCTGGAATGTTCTTACTCTACCTCTAATTGTCCACCTCCTACACATCCTCAAAGGCCCTCCCACCTCTGCTACCCATTCTCTACGAAGTCCACACCCCGGCTACATCCTACCCTGGAACCCTTCCATGGATCAGCGGGCTTGCCTGTATCCGGCTGGGAATTTTCCAACTTCGTGGGTCTGGAGTCCAGAGGGACAGTGAGGATGTTTAGAGTAGGGAAGTAAGTGGCAGAGGAAGTCCAAAGTCTGCCTGAATTCCTCAGCGATAAGGGCTGGAGGGAGCTGCCCTGGCCCGAGCCCCTAAGGGCAATGGTTGACCAGATGGCCCAAGGCGAGGTGGGGAAGGGTTGATGCAGCCCAGATGAGTGGTTGGAGAGTTTCATCCCTCCTGGGAATGTGCATTTGCTGGGTGACCTCAGCGCTCTTCGGGTCTCTGTTTCCCCTCTCTTTCTTCAGATGGGGCCCAGCACTCAGCTACATTGTGATGCAGCAGAGCTCATTTTCCAGACCACCCTCACTTTGTTCAGAGACACCCTGGGATCCTGGGTTACTCTGGGGGCTCCTACCCCCTCTGCAAACTGCCGCTCGGGCAGGGCTCTGACTGTGCTTCTGGGGGGAGCAGAGATGGCTAGAGAAGTTGACCCAACACCCTTCCACCTTATGATGGCAGCAGAAGGCACCAGAAATCCTCTGGTGCCCTCAGTGATTGGAAAAGAAATGTTTTTGGTCAAGCAGAGTGACCACAACCCTGGCTTAAGAGAGCCCAGCAAGTGAGGGCGTCCATTGTCCTATCCTCAGAGCATAAGTCTGGACTTTTGGTTATAGGGACAGAAAACTCACCTGGCTCAAGTTGTAACACAGGTATTGATTCGTGTTGCTGGAAGCAAGGCTGGTTTCAGGCATGGCTGCTCAGGGGCTCGGACCATGTCAAGAGGACCCAGATTTCCTCCCTCTCTCTGTTCTGCCCTGAGCTGTGTGGCCTTCGTCATTGTGTTCTGCTTGGCAATAAGATGGTGGCAGTAGCTCCGGGCCCTGCATCCCTTGAGGGTTCCAGTCCAGTGGGAAAGAACAAATCCACTTGCCTAATTGCTTAATCCAGAGTCCCAGGAATGAGCCCCCTGGCTCTGAGTAGCCTGACTTGGGCCATTGCCAGAGACTGTGTCCAGGAACACTCCGACTGGCTCAAGGCTGGTCACATGTTGATCCCCTAGAAGAGGGATCACCAGAACCCATGAACTAGGAGTGGGGAGGGAGGTTTCCCAGACAGAGATGAAAACATGGCACCAAGGGGAGGTAAAGGGTGGTAGAGGCAGCAACAATAGATGCCCACTACCAGCTGTATTATGGGAGATAAGAGGTGAGATGGGCAGGAGAGCTGGGCAAGGCTTGGAAGGGGCTAGAAGACAGACTGCACCCTGTTGCTGGTGGACAATGGGACTGAGAAGGGCCTTTGGGGAGAAGCATGCTCTAAGCAAGCAAGGTGGTGGGACACAACCCAGGATGGCAAGTCCCCAGGTTCCTCTTCAAGAGGCCACCTGTGGGATCCATCTGGCCACCCTTCTTCCCGTGCCTGAGCCAGCCGCAGGTCCCTTAAGACAGAGCGTCTGGAGTGTTTCAGTCTGGATAACCCTATGGGCAAGAGAGGAAACATGTGACCCCAAAGACGGACCACAGCGCATTTCCTTGGAAGTCGTATATCCTTTCTTTTAAGCAGTTATACAAATAATGACATCCTTTCCATAACAGATCCGTGTTACTTTCAAAGTGCCAAGTTTTAAATGACTGACCAGCTCTAATGTCTTTACCCAAGTTGGCCGGTAAAGTTAATAGTCCAAGATGGAAGCCATGGTCACTGTGTGGCTCCCAGGCCTGTGGCGAGTGAGGTCTGGATGCGGGGACGTCGGAAGGGCATCCTGGGTGACTAGCAGGCTTTCCCTTGGACCTTTCCCTCGGGCCTGGGCGTGGTCAGCTGTGGTGCTACACTGGGAAAATTGGGGACCTCTGTGACAATGGGGCTCCACCAGAGCCTTCAACAAGGGATGAGAGGCCCGTTGAGGTGGAAGGGACTCCACCATGCGCCCTTGGGCACCGAGTTGTCCAAATTCAGCTTGGGTCCCCCTCCCTCTGTAGCCATGGAGAGCTAGCTCACTGGCACCTGGGTGCTTATCCCTCACGGGGGTCGACTCACTTAGAACAGTGGTCAAAGTCACACCCTTGGCGCCTACAGACTAGATGGGGACCCCCTTAAAGGAAGGAAATAAGGGGAAGCTCCAATCTATGTCTCCCTACAGTCCCACTACAAGAACCCTTTGAGTCATCAGGGGAACCATTTAGCCTGCAGGGACACGGAGGCCCAGGGAAGTGAAGACCTTGTCTTAGGGTGGGAAGGACAAGCTGGAAGAGACACTGAGAATCCCTGATTCTGGAGCAGTCTTGCTGGACTCTCCCCCATGGCCCTGTTTGGGACTGTGACATTTCCCTTTCTAAGCAGGTATGAGGAAACTGATGTGGGGTTCCCGGGGCAGCAGCCACTTCCCTAAAACCAAAGAGAGACAGGCAGAAGCTTCCACCAGCCCAGCAGTTCCTCCACAGAGGCCTTTCCCCACCCTTCCCCACCCAAAGGTTCCCAAGGCCTGAATTTTCTGGCTGTTCCTGGGCATCCATCACCCCTACTCACATGTTGGCTCCAGTGCCAATGTTCCCCTGGCACACAGATCTGGCCCCACCCCTGATCCCTAGCTATGGCACAGGGAAGGGGAAGGGAGGGGAGGGAAGGGGAGAGGAGGGGAGAAGCTTGAGTTTCCTCATCTCGTCTCCCCACCTCCCAGAGGCAGAGGAGGCCTGGTAGGATCCTGAGCCGTCCTAGAGAGGCCTCCCTTACTTCCTTAAACCCTCATGAGGTCTGATTTAGCTTGAATTATGCAGGGGAAGGAGAGAAGCTAAAGTCTGGGCAAGGAGGGCCAGTGTGCCCTTCCTTGTTGGTGACCCAAGGGGCCGAGCACAGGCTCCTAGAATGGGGACAGAGGCTGGAAGATGCATCTGGACTCCTGGATTCCTCCCAGGTCTGGCTCCAGGAACTGGAGGCCAGGGTCCAACTCCTGTAATAAGACAGCACCAGCTGGGCCCCACCCATCCTTAGGGACTGAGGCAGGGACAGAGGACTCCCAGCGCTCCCCCAAGCTAGATAATGGCAGAGTCTAGTGGGCCAGCTCTGGGCTCCAAGGAGAGGCCCTCTCACTTCTGTCCAGGTCCTGCTGCCCATAAAGAGACACAGCTGTTATAGCCACAGCACTGTTGGGGGGCCACCAAGAAGCCATGACAGGGTCCTCAAGGCAGACCAAGCTTTGGGGACAGTGAACACATTTGGGTCGGATCCAGGTCAGGGTCAGGCCTCTGTCTGGGGTAAGGATCGGGGTCGGGTCCACAGTTGGGATTGGGGTTCAGTCTAGAACTTGGGTCAGTCAGTGACGAGCCTTGTATGACCCATGTTCCTGGATTTTGTGGGTGAGATGTGGGCATGGACGAGGCTGATGAGTTCCCCCCCGTCTCTGTCCCACAGAGAGGCTGGGCCTCTGGGCTGCAGTGGGAGGTGTGTGACTACGTGCAGATGATCGAGGCGGAGCGCAGGCAGTGCCTGGAGGACGCCCAGCTGGACAATGAGACAGCAGGTGAGCCCCCCCCCGTGGGAAGAGAAGCGCTGCAGACCCCCAAGGGGCCCCACTTCTCTGCACAGCATGAGCCCAGATACGCATCACACTCATTGAACATTGTGGGGGGGTAGTGCCAGTAGGTGCTGGGTGATGAGACTAGGATGCTGGGAGAACTTGGGGAGCCAGACGGAAGAAAGAAGGAACCAACAGACCTCCATGCTCCCATCACCCACCCCAGATCTGAGGAGCTCCCAGTTGTCTAAGGAGAGTATACAAACTGGAGTTCAGAAATTGAGTGCAGCCAACTCTGCCTTTGGGGGTCCCCGCCCCTCTTCTCCAGGAACAGTGGGGGTGATGCCCATGGCTGACCGACCATCCAGGATGGGAGGCCCAGGGCACTGCATGGTGGGGCCGGTGACAATGAGGACTCTGGGTCCAGCACGAAGAAGGGTTGGGGTAGCTCACAGGTGGGAGCACTTCCAGGCCAGGCTCCTCGGCCCCTGACTTAGCTGGAGCTGAGATGGAGAGAACTGGCCCCAGAACACCACACTCCGGGATGAAACCATTGTACTCTTAGCATCTCAGAGGGAGAGCAAAGGACATTCGGTGACAGTACGTGACCACCACGGGGACCACATGGAAGCTCACAGCCACCATGGTCGTCTAGAGCAAGACGGGGCACCAGGCTAGTCTGCACGGGTCTGGAATACTCACCACGGGGTGGGGCTGGGGGTGGAAACTGAGGTCCTTCCTCCCAACCCTAGGCTTTGCCAGTTAGCACGACACCCAGAGGTGACACTAAACACACAGGCCCCTAGACAGACACACTGACCTTCCTATCCCAAGCCACCCTCAGCAGATGAACCATCAGCTTGTTACCCGGCTGATTAGACTAATCGAGGTCGGACTCAGAGACCGAGCACATGGGGCCCAGCTGCTCCTCCCCTGGGGTCTGAGGGGCTCCGGCCTGGCAGTAGGAAGAGGGGTGTCAGGGGCCCCCGCAGCTCGATGCTGCCCAGACCCAGCAGGGCCGGCAGCCCAGATGACAGCACCCTCTACTCCACTCCCCCACCCTGAGCGCCCACACTTGGCTCAGCAGCCCTGGGGCGAGGATGGAAGAATACAAAGGACTTCCTCCCAAAAGTGCCCGTGGAGCCAGACTCGGTGGGCAGGATCCGGAGAAGCAGAGAGGCTGGGAAGGTGGGGGGCCCAGAGACAGACTGCCCTGGGGAGTGGGGTGGGTATGGGGTTCCAGGCTTGCTGCGAGGGACAGGGAGGGCTGGAGGCTGTGAGGTGGCTGTGCCTGCTCTGGGCCTCCCCCCCAGGTCACCTCCCTGAGGCCCAGCTTAGAGTTGCATAGCTGCCTTGTTCAAGTGCAGGGAGCATCTTTAACATCTTCCTGGCTCCCCAGTTCCCTCCTCTGAGGCTGACACTTGTGTAACCCCTCCTGGGCCCTTCCTCTTGGCGCTGGTGCCCGGGCTCTCTGCCTCCTGCACCTTTAGTGAGTACGTGTAGCCTTGTTCATGGTCTTTACCTCCCCCAGCTCTCAAGGAAGGGCGGCCTCCTGTCTCCTGGGCCCCTGAGACTGAGGCCTGGGTCAAGGGGTAGCTGGACCTGCCCACCACCTATGCTCCTGCCAGGACAGGGAGGCAGGGCCAGGCTGCTGACAGACCTCAGCAGGCCCCAACTGTGAGATCCGGATGGTGGACAGCTCTGAGAGGCCCAGACCCCGGACTCTAGGCCCCCTTGCATCCCTCCCAGGACCCAGGGGCAGGCCACCCTCGTGATCCTAATGAGGTCATTGCTGGCACAGCGTGCCTGTCAGGTGCCAACAAACACCCTGTCACCAGGCAGTCAGCTAGGGATCCAGAGGAGGGTAGGTATGGGTCAGTGGGCAGCGAGTCTGCCCGGTGACCTTGTGTAGGGCTCTGTGCATGTTCAGGCCCATGCAGGTGTGTGCTCCTGGCCCGTGTCCCTCCGGTTCTGCGTCTGCGCCTCAGAGTCTGAGCTCCATGTCTGACTCTGAGTATCTTTGTGTCGGAGTGTGTGTCTGGGTAGCCTGGACATGCCTAGATGTGTCTGCCTGGTGTGCTGTGTGTGTCAGTGTGTATATCAGTGTGAATATCTATGATGCCTATGCGTGTGTGTGTCTCCCTGTGCCTGTGTTTACTTGTCTGGTCTTCCTGGGTCCAAGTAAACATACATGTATGTATGTTTGCATGTTTGTCTGTGGTTCCGTGTGTCTCTCTGTACAGCTAAAGTCCCCACTCTGCCTCTCCTTCCCCCACCCAGGCTCCTGGCTGGACTTTCTTTCCTGTTAGGTGGCAGCCCCAGAGGGCATACACAGCCAGCCTGGGCCTGGTGTCTCTGTGGGCCTGGTGATACATGTGGTGGGACTTGAAGGGTCTCCCTGGGGTGGGCAAACAGAGAATAGTCCCAGGGCCCGCCCAGGACAACAGTCTCCAGATGCCCAGCATTTTCTTGGCTGTCACCCTCTTCTCCCCTTCCAGACCCTGCTGCCTCCTGCAGGAAGCTTCCCGGACCACAATCCCTGCTGGCCTCTCTTCCCTGCTTCCCTACCCTGCCCACTGGCCTGTGCCCAGCACAGTTTACAGCCCAACCTGGTGGCGCTGAAATTCCTCGAGGCCAAGCGTGACCTCCCCAAGGACAGGGCCTGGTCTCCCTCTCCTCTGTGCTGCCTCTCCTGGAGCTGAGGTCAGGCCTGGGGACCCAGCTCCAAATCTATTTCCCAACCTGTGCTGCAGCGGGAGACCCAGAGAGCCCAAGTGTGGCGGGGACCCAGACCCAGCAGTCAGCCTGCAAAGCAGGGTGCACCCGTCGCTGTCAGAGAGAGATAAACAGAGCCCTGCAAAGCAAAATCCCCAGAGAATCAACATTGAGCCAGCCAGAGGTTTGCTGGAGAGGGAAGGGAACACGTGAAGCGTGAAGCGGCTACACCACTCGCCCCTGGGCTAGCTCCCTAATTGCTCTGTGCTCCTTAACTCAGCTCTAAAATGGGAGGGTAAATACGTCATTCAATGAAAGGGGGTGGGACAGCGCCTCCCACTTACAAAGGCTTGGGAGGTGTTGGCCGATATTATTAATAATGGTGACCAGCTAGCAGGATTTGACTGGCCCTACGCGGCCTCCAGAGAGGCTGGCACAGGAATAAAGGGGAGACTGGGAGCCAGCGAGGACAGAAGCCTCAGGACAGGGTAGGGCAGAAGTTCTGGGATCCCCAAGGAAGGTGGGCTGTGCTCTCCCGCCAACCCCAGGGATCCAGGTGTTCTCAGCCTTCAGCAGCAGATAATACTTGGCTGCTGCAGGCCTGGAAGGTGCCCCTCCCGCTGCTGGCCCGCTCCAGTACTCAGAGTCCTGAGGCTCTTCCTCGAGTGGGGACACCCTTCCACCTTTTCTTCCCAGGCCCCCTTCTTGGGAACTCGGGAACCTTCGGACTTGGGCTGGGCTGGGCTTGGCCCAGCTGGCGTTGACTTTGGCTCAGGGGTTGGGTTTCCTGAACAAATCTATGGGACTGGCAGGGTTGCAAGGAGACAATTAAACCTCCCTCAGAGTAGGGAATCCAGAGGAGCCCTAGTCCCTGGGAAGAACCCAGACCCTGAACAGGCAAAACCATGGCATTTGCATCTGCCTATTAAAGCAGACTCCTCGGCACCCCACTGTGCACCCCTCACCCCCGGGTCCTCAGGCCTATAGGGACATGCTGAAGAACACAGTCTGAGATGCAGGATTTTCTCTGAACTCACCCCCCAACCATACCTACCCCCATCACGATTCACAGTTTGGCTGAGTTGGGGGCTTCGTGTTGCTTTGTGAGTTTTATGAAGACTCCTCAAGAACTAGCTGAACCCCCATATACCCATCACCCCGTCGTAAACAACATCTCCTTTTTATAAAATATGTTTTCTAATGCCTTCTTTACTATTATAAAATGAAATTCAGGACACATTCATTTTTTTAAATGATGTTCTACCTGTAACATAAAAGAAAACGAAAAAGGAAAGTAATTTATAATAAAATACTATCTGACAAAGCCAGGCCCAATCCCACTAAAAGATAAGACACAGCCTGAAGGTGGGACCTATAAACATAAACTCAGGGAATGGGAGAGCTATGGACGCGGGTTGGTATAGACAGGGCTTGCATCACCGGCTCAGATGTCACGGGCAGCGTTGCTGTAGGTAACGTGATTTTCCAAAACATTAAGCAACTTTTAGTAAAGTTCAGAACACGCCAAAGCCCAGTCTTCTCTCCCTTTACTCGGTAGTTGTGCTTCAGGAAAACTGTATGTTAAACACGCCATAAGTGCCTTGTGTTTGTATATAAATTGGAGCGGGAGTCCAGGCTCTGGTCATTACAGAAGGATTTCACCTACACAAATGCCCAGGGGCTCCTCTGAAAGTCGTGAGAAGCTTTGCAATTCATCGCCGTGCAGGGCTGTGCAGGACCGTGCAGGACCTGGCACCTGCCTGTCCAACGCAGAGGAGGCCCCCAATCTGCAACAGAGGAATCCCCCACTGCTACCCAAAACACGCCCGGGGCGCTCTGTCCCTCACTGAGGACCGTGGAGCCGTGGGCATGCCTCCTAATCCCCAGTCCCCGCAGGACCGGCCCTGTACAGCCTGGGCGGGGCTGTGCCTCCCCTCTCGGACTACAGGCTCCTGGAGGGGGAGGCTGCAGGCACCTGGTGGCCACGCTGACCCATGTGTCCCCTGCCTTTTGTTACCCCACAGGCTGCAGCAAGATGTGGGACAACCTCACCTGCTGGCCAGCCACCCCTCGGGGCCAGGTGGTCGTCTTGGCCTGCCCGCTCATCTATAGTTTCTTCTCCCCACTTGAAGGTAAGAGCCCTGGGCTAAAGCTAGGGAGCTGTGTGGCACAAGTGGAGCCGGGAAGAGTGGGGTCTCATCTCTCCGGGAAATGAGAAGGAAAGTGTCAAAGGAACTGGAGCAATCAGGGCACCTTCCTGGAAGAGGGTGCTGTGGCACTAGGTCTTTGAAAGACTCGTGTGATTTGATTAACTCTTCATGTAAAGATAACCATGTGGGAAGGGCTCATTAAATATTTGCTCAGCAATTAATAACTGATTGACTGACAGGTACTTGATTAAATCATGGTTCCCATGTTCCCGTTGTTCGGTCGGCTTTTGATTCAGTCTTTCGCTGCCTGGAGCCGATGACCTCTCCGGCTCCGTGAAACCACCTCATGGCCTTGCTTACACACCTTCTTGAGTTCTGCTGAAATGAATGTTGGCATACAGGGCAGAAAAGAAAAGGGGGAGCCTCTCGAGGAAGTGGGCTTTCTTGCTACTGAGTAATTAAAGAGGCTTACAGCGTAACGTGGTCACTCGGCCGTCCTTCCATTCAGTGAACATTTATTCAACACGTACTAACATTAACATGACAGGCACTGGGCTAGACAAACGGGGTGGCAGAGGGTGGGCATAAAACAGCCACGCTGTCTGCCCACAGGGAGCTAGCATTCTAGTTGGAGAGACATTTAGCAAAAACATAGACATGTGTCCTAATGGTAAGCAGTGCTGGGCGGGGGAAGAGGGGCGGGGAGCAACATAAGGCGGGGTTCAGGGACAGGAAAGACCTGGAGTCGGGAAAGAGACCACGCAAAGCTTCGGCTGTGCCAGCATGGAGGGAATCTCCATGAGTGGGATGAGGGGGACTGGGGAGCTGC